GGCTGGAGCATCCGGAAGGGGTGTGGGTGCTGGACGGCAGCGACTTTCCCAAGCAGGGACGGAAGTCGGCGGGAGTGGCCCGGCAGTACTGCGGGAGGCTGGGGAAGGTGGCCAACTGCCAGGCCGGAATGTTCTTGGCCTATGTCAGCCCGTTGGGACGGGCCCTGGTGGACAAACGGCTGTATCTGCCGGAGAGTTGGACCTCGGACAAAGACCGGTGTGAGGCGGCGGGTGTGCCGGAGGATAGGCAGGGCTACCGGTCGAAGACGGAGTTGGCCTTGGAGATGGTGGGGCGGGCACAGGAGCGGGGCCACCTGAGGGCTGGATGGGTCGCTGCGGACGATGCCTTCGGTATGTCGCCGTCATTCCGCGAGGGCCTGGCGCCCTTGGGGATGTGGTACGTGCTGGACGTTCCGTCCGGCTTTACGGTGTGGCCGCCGGAGCCTGCCTGGACCAGTGCGGAGTATCAGGGATTCGGGCGTCCCCGCAAGCCGAGGCTCCGCAGCGGGCAGCGCCGGACGATGGCGGAGCGGGCCGATGCCATCACGGAGGAGGCGTGGCGGGAGATACGGTGGCCGAGGGAAGCCAGGGCCCCCGCAGCTACCTGTTCAGTGCCCAGAGGGTGCGTCCAACCAGCAGGCGTAAGCCCGGCGAAATCCACTGGGCCATTTACCGCCGGAATCTGGACGGCAGCGAACCCCGCTACTATCTGTCCAATGCACCGGAGGATACCCCGTTGGAGACCCTGGCATACGTGGGAGGATCCCGTGGCGTATAGAAACGGAGTTCGAGACGGAGAAAAGCGACGTGGGGCTGGACGAGTACGAGACCCGCACCTGGGCTGGCTGGCATCACCACGTGGCCCTGTGCCTGCTGGGCGGAGCTTTTCTGCTGAGCCTGCAACAGGCTTGGGGGGGAAAAGATGCCCCGGATCACGAGGCCGCAGGTCTACCGGGTGGTGCGGGAGATGCTGCCCCGGGAACGGTTCGGACCTGAAGAGTTGCTGCGGTGGCTGGAGGATACGCAGGACAGTAACGAACGGGCCAGCCGCTCCATGTGGCCAAGCCCTCGAAGCCGGCGGCGCTGACCTCACCCCAGTTTGTCCAGAATCCTAACATCGATCCAGGATCGATTTCCGGGGGCAGGTCACCGTGTCCTATCCTGCCATCTCGCCCGCTACAGCCACTGCAGGCCGCCACCGGTGCCCCCAAAAGCGCCTGGGGACCGCCCGCCAACCTCCCGTCTACCCGAATTCGAGCCCGGATCATCGCGCCTGTAACTCCCTCACTCCCCCTTCCACTGTCCATCGCGCCGTCCATCGGTGGATTCGGGCTTAAACGCGGTTGACTAGGACGGCAATGACCGGTCGGGGATTAAGGTGGGTCCTGAATAGGAGCCGCGACTGACAATTTCGGCGACCGCATTGGCCCCACGGTGCGAGGTGGTTGACCAAATCACCCCCATCGTGGATGCCCTTGAAGACGCGGGCAACCAAACGGAGCGACATGAATCACCCAATGTGCCCCGGTGGTCTCCAAGTCGCCCCCCCTCTGTTGACTTCCCGCAGCCTTGCGGCTTATGTTGGCGATCCGAACCTTCCTGCTGAAGTGAGCGCCCTCGCACGGCAGTTACGGAAGAAGTAGCTCAAATAGCCAGTAGAATTGGACGTAAATCAACGAGGGGCAACCCTTTGTCTCCACTTTCCAACATTCCTGTCCTAGTGGTCCTGCAAAACCCCTGACTTCCGCCTGATGTGGGCGGCTCGGTGGGTTCACGAAATCTCCCGCCGCATGGAACTGCTGGTGCTGGGATACCTCATTTACGAACTGACCGACTCGGCCTTTCAAGTCGGATTGATTTCCGTTTTCCTGAATGGTCCGCGCCCGCCTTTGTCGTTGGTAGCCGGAATGCTGGCCGACCGGCTGGACCGGTGGCGGATTCTGGCCGGTATCCACACCTTCTATTTGCTTGTCGCCTTGGGACTGCTGGCGCTCTTGATTCTGGGCCTCATTCATCCCTGGTATGTTTTCCTTGCCATACTCTTGCAGGGCACGGCCAAGGTTTTGGACGACCCAGCCAGGCGGGCGGCGCTTTTCGACCTGGCCGGAGAAGGCCGAATCACCCACGCCATGTCCCTGGAGACCATCACCAACAACATAGGCAAGATTTTGGGGCCGTTGGCCGGCGGGCTGTTGATTGCCTTTTACGGTTATACCGGGGCTTTCATAGTAGTCGTGACCATGGACCTGATAGCGGCCTGCCTGATGTTCAAGATGCGGCTGCCGAAAGCGGCGTTGGTGGTGGGCAGGGACAGGGTGTTCGCGCAGGGAATCAAGTCAGGCATCGGGCATTCCTTCTCAAGCAAGTTTGTTCTGGGGGTGCTTTGCATATCGTTGGTGATGAATGGCATGGTGCTGCCACTGCAATACTTCATACCGATCATCGCCACCGATTTATTGAAGGTGGGGCCCGCGCTGGGGGGCGTAATAGGCTCGGCGGAAGGTGTTGGCACGCTCATGGGGGCGATATTCATAGCTACTCGTCGCAACTACACCTTTCACGGACGGTACTACGTGATAGGGGCCATGATTGTGGCGGTGTGCGTAGCTGCAGTGGCCTGGTCGCCCTGGTTCCTGATTTCCTTCCTGTTGCTCTTTGGATCCGGTATTGGTCAATCAGGATTCAGCACCATGCAGAGCACCATCCTGCTGCTTGCGTCACCGGCTGAAATGCGAGGGCGGATAATGGGGTCCCAAGGGTTGGTCAACGGCCTGGGCCACCTGGTCGGCGGAGCGGAAATCGGGGTTATAGCCCAAGCATTCGGCATCTCACTGGCCATAGGCATTAACGCCGGCGCTGGCCTGCTCTTGATGCTGCCGGTCGTCTTGTTGACGCCGTTGGTGTGGCGGCCGGTGGAGTCGTACTACAATACGGCCAGCGTTGACGCCGCTACGGCGGGTCTCAGGACTGACCAGCGGCCCGGCCAAGCAGGTTAGGGCCGCGGACTCCGGGATAGCAGACACGCCTCAACTCATGTCTTGCACGACTACTAAACCAAAGCCAAAGTGGGATTTGCATTTGCCTGAGGCGGGGAATCCGGCTGGAAGTCTCGGAGGAGTGCTTCAGCCCTTGATTGCAGGACTGTCTGGCCAAGTTGCCGCTCGGTCAGGGGAGCGCGGGTACTGAAGACGGATCCCTTCGTTAGCCGTTGGTCAACGGGTCGTTGCCCCAGGTGAACAAGGGCTCCGATCCTCCCTCCTTGACCAAGAACACTTCCTCGATCCAGCAGCGTTCTCTCTCATCGCCCGGACACAGAAGGTGAGCGGCTATCACCATGTCCTCTTCCAACATCCAGTTGGGATCGGACCCGTCCTCCACCAAAGCCAGCACATCCGCATGACTCAGCCCCAGGCCATGGAAGTAGGTCAGCACCGACTCGTGTTGCGGCACTCCCAACCGTTGAAACGTTCGACGGCTCTTTTCCTGCAGGTCGCCGATCCGGGCTCCGGGGCGCATTGCATCGTGAATCTCGTTCATCGCTTCGGCGGTAGCCCGACCGATGCGGCGGGCTATTTCCGAGCCGTAGTCCTCCACGACCCAGGTTTTGCCGCCGTCCCAGCAATACTGGTTCTTGGTCCCATGGCAGTCGAACATGATGTTGGTCCCCGGCTGGACCACGAAGTCCTCGGAGTCGACACGCAGTCGCACGGCGGGGTCGCCGTCCAGCGGGTTGGCGAAAAAGACTCCGCCCGGGTCGCAGACCCACCCGCCCAGCGCGGAGATCTCTGCATGATAGGTATTCACCAGCTCCTTCCAGAGCATACCTCGACTCCAAGACTGCACCGTCCGTTCTATGGCAACCTGGTTTCACCCGGGTGGCTTCCCGGAGCCATTCGATTTCCTGGGCGCTCTTCCTCTCTCGAATTAACATCATCAAGTCATATGCGTCAAAAACGTCCGCCAGGGAGCCTGTAACCTTGGCGCCCACTCTCAGGTCATCGTAGCCGATGCGTCCGTGGGTGAGGCCCAGGTCCTGCACAGCATCACGGATCCCCTCGGTGAAGCTACCAGCGAGCCGGTCACCAGCGTTCTTGACCCAGCCGGAGTCCTGCCGGGAGGCCGGCATAAACCGGAAAAACTCAGACCGGTCGGTGGATGCGCCCACCGGAAGGAGGACGCTTCGGTGGGGACGGATGTCTTCGATCCATATGGGCTCATACAGGAAAGGCGATACAAATATGTCAGGCCCAACCAGGATGGGGTGCCGCAGGTCATGGCGGGAAAGGACCACAGCGACTCCTGGCGGCTCGTCGGCTTTGGGCGCTGTGGGATTGTGCCCCGAAAGGTAGGTCACGTTCAGGGGCGTTGTAATCACCAGGCCGTCTATGCCACGGGCTTCCATCGCCCCGGTCAACCGTTCAGGATCGAATACAGGAGCCGGAGTTCCGTTCATGTCACTGGCCACGATCAACTCCTTCTACGGTGGACTTGAGCCGTTTCCTACCTTGGAGGCTCCCCTCACCCTACTACCCGGACCTGGATCCTACAGGGGGTATTGTAACTTGATGGTCGGTGCGACAGGAAGAAACGACCGGTCAACAGGGTGGCCGGACGGTCGGGAAGGCAAAGTTGCCGCTGTTAAGCTTGGTCTATCCACGCGGGCGCGGGGCAAACTCAGTCTCAGTTTTTTTCCGGCGCCGCCTACGACAGACGTAAAGGTCTATACCCGCCAGTGGAGAGCACGGGCGGTCGCGAACATCCTTGGGATGAATCGTGATCTGAAGCTGGTCAGAACCATGGCGATCCTGGCAGGGTCCGCAGCTACAGGTCTTGTGACCGCTGTGGGCCACCTGTCCTCGGCATTGTCCGGAGGCGACTGCAGTACCAAGCAGTCAGTGTCGGGTTCTAACTCCCGATATTCTCCAATCCGCGGGGCGCTATCTGGAACGGTGGCGGGAGGTTTGGAATGGGCACCTCGATGACCACCGGGAGATTGGCCCTCAGGGCGTCACGGAGAGCGTCCCCCAGCCCTCGTGGCTGTCCAACCTGACGCCCACGGCACCGTATGCCTCGGCCAGTTGGGCGAAGTCAGGGTTGTGGAGCCGGGTACCGATGACCCTGCCGCCGAAACGCTGTTGCTGGTCGTGGTGCGACGCCCCGAGCATCTCGTTGTTGAACACCAGAGTCACCACATTTATCCCCTTCCTGTACAGCGGTGGCCAGTTCACTGGAGGCGTACCCGAACCCGCCATCCCCCGTTGTGGCAACGACCTGCCTGCCGGGGTTGCCGACTTTGGCGCCCAGGGCCGTGGGGAAGGCATACCCCAGGGTGGCGAAGTAGGAGGAGGTGAGGTAGGAACGCGGGGCCAGCACCGGGTAGGCCAGATGACTCCAGTAACCGATGTCAGTGGTCCCGGCGACCATGATTGCGTCGTCGTCCAGTTCGTGGCGTATCGTCTCGATGATCTCCACCTGGAGAGGGGCCATCTCCCGGATTTCCAGATCGGCCTGTTGGCGAATGGCCGTGATCTCGGTCTCGGTCCACTGGCTGGCCCGTGTCCGTGCCTCCCAATTCCGCCAGCAACGCCTGTACCCCCAGGCGGGCATCGGCGGCGATTCCCACTGTGGCGGGGATATTGCGGCCAAGTTCCTCGGGGTCGGCGTCGATCTGGACAACCCTCTGGTGGGGCTGGATTCCCCAGGGCACGTTGGGCGTGAACATCATCCGACTGCCGACGGCCAGGATGACGTCGGCCTGCGGGAGGGCGATATGGCCGGGCCCGTGGGCGTAGTAGAAACTGCCCAAGGACAGCGGACTGTTTTCAGGGATTGCGCCCTTACCCTCTGGCGTGGTTATAACCGGGGAGTTCAGGGCTTCGGCTAGATCCATAAGCTCGGAGGAGACGGCAGCGTCCCTTGTGCCGCCGCCAGCCCAGATCAGGGGGCGGCTGGCCCCTGCAAGCAGCTGGGCTGCCTCTCTGATCAGGGCGGGCTCGGGCTGCTGCTTGACTGGACCTTCGGGTTCCGGGAGTTCGGTTTCATCAGTCATTGAGAGAACGTCCCAGGGGATCTCTATCTCCACCGGCCTGGGCCGGCCAGAGGACATCTCCTGGAAAGCGTTCCGGACCATTCCCGGGATTTCATTCACCTTGTCTGACCGCCCACACCACTTGGTCAGGTGTTTGAAGACGTCCAACTGCTCGCCGATCTCGTGGAGCGCGCCCCGGTTCTGGCCGAGGTTATAGCTCTCTATCTGCCCCGACACCAGCAGAACCGGGGACGATGTGGCATAGGCGGTGCCGAGTCCCGCCGTTGCGTTGAGGGCCCCAGGGCCAGGCACCACCAGCGCAACGCCGGGCTTGCCGGTGGTCCGGGCGTAGCCATCGGCCATGTAGGTGGTCGCCTGCTCGTGCCGGGTCAGGACCATGCGGATGCCGGGCTCGTCGTAAAGGGCATCGAATACGTCCATAATCTGTACGCCGGGAAGCCCGAACACTACCTCGACGCCGTGCCTGGCCAAGGAACGCACCAGCGCCTGTGCTCCGCTCATCACTGGGCATTGCTCACCTCCCGTCGTGCTACTCTTTCGGATACCCGAGGATTTTACCACCTGCCTTCTCGCGTCCACCGGATGGGAAAAATAGATGGCATGGACAACATTGGCGTGGGGAGGGCTGGTTTCAACCAGATGTTCCCACGCTAAGGAACTATCTCAAAACGGAGTGGGTTGAAGGGGAGGGCGCAAGTTAGATTCGATTAGGATAGGCAAAAACCGGGTGATGGTGGACGATGACGGCAAAGAGCGAGCCTCTGTCGACTATCCGGGAAATTTCAGACGATATTTGGGAGCAGATTCACCCTGTCATTCAGCGAAGGGGTACCGCCGGATTGCATCGCGCACTGGCCTGTTTCGCAACACGGTCCGCAAGTACCCGAGCGCGCCGAAGGCCGCGGCATCGCCAAGGACGGACCCTCTTCCAGTGATGATCAGCTCAGTCGCCTGGCGACCATCGGACAGCCTGGACCGCGTCAGACGGAGACCCCCAACGAGGACCCGCTAGCCCCTTGGGCCGACCCGATCTACCAGTGGCTCACCGGCGACCGGCTGCAGGTTACCCGCATCCACGAGTTGCAACTGGGCCGTGGATGCCCGGTGTCCTACCAGTCGCCGCGGGGCTTCATCCAGAAACGAAACTGGAGCAGGCCCAGCAGGACCGTGGGGCGGCTGGAGGACAGCCCGCCCGGGGAAAGTGGCCGAGCTAGACTTCGGGCAGTTGGGCCTGATCCATGAACCCGAGACGGGCCGCCGCCGCACGGCCGGGCGCTGGTCCTGGTGCTGGGCTATTCCAGCCACTGCTTCCTCTGGCCCGCCTTCGGTGAGACGTTGGGAGGACGTGATAGCCGGGCTTGGGCCTCCTGAGGATGAGACAGTGGGCCTTCTGCTCCACTCCGCCGATGACCACTAGGGCCCCGTCGAAGTCGCACTGGGCATGCCCCGGCGGATGAGCCAGAGGCACGAACATTTCTCTGGTCCGGCAGCGGTGCTCGCGAACGTATTCCTTGACGATGGTGTACCCACCTGGGAAGTCATACTCGTCTCTGAGCCTTTCGAAGATGTGCTTTGCGGCGAGGCGCAGCTTTCCGGGAAGCTTGAGATCCTCCTCGAAGATGCGGTCGATGACCCCGGTCTCCCTACCGCCGTGGCGACGGCCCCAAGTGCGAACCCGCGTCCACCAGGATAGTCTCACCGGTAACGTGTTCCGCACCCTCCAGTAGCCACACCACCGGGTCTGCCACCATCTCGGTGGTACCGGCTGACTTAAGCGGGGCAGATTCTGCGTACCGGTCTATGAATGCCTCGTAGCCGTCGCCGAGGCCGTCCCGCCACCACCGCGTCTGCATCACGCCCGGACACACCGCGTTGACCCGTATCTCCGGCGCGAGGGCGCGCGCCAGCGAGTACGTCATCACGTTCAGCGCCGCCTTGGACGCAGCGTAGGCGATGGAACTGCCCGAACCGCTGAACCCGGAGCCGGACGACACGTTGACGATGGCCCCTTTGCCTTGTTCCTGCATGGCCGGCGTAACCGCCCGCGCCATCTGGAACGCGCCCACCACGTTGACATCAAGGACGCGCCGGAAGTCCTCCGAAGCCAGCCCCTCGAGGTCGTGGTGCGGCACGATTACCGACGTGGCGGCGTTGTTCACCAGCCCGTCAATGCGGCCCCACTGATCCAGCGCGGCCGCTGCCATCCGTCGGCACTCCTCATCCACCGACACGTCGGCCTGGCACAGGATGGCCTCGCCGCCTGCCGCGCGGCACGCCTCCGCCGATGCTTTGGCCTCAGCCTCGCTCCTGGTGTAGTTGATCACCACACGGCCGCCTTTTGCAGCGAGTTGCCGAGCCACCTCCGCTCCCAACCCCGTCGCTGAACCCGTGATTATGAACACGCCACTTTGAATTTCCATGATCGTTCCCCAGCTGTAGTAGCAATCTGCAGATTATAGCGGACGTCCCGTCACCGTCCACGGTTGTAAACGGCGGAGCTGTCAATGGCGCCGAGAAGACGGACCACTGTGGCGGAGTAACCGTGTACTACTAATGACATGATGACTGGCGGCAGTTGTTCAGGCAGAGTGGCGACGTTATGGGAGCGGGGAGAAAAGGCGTCGAGGGTGCTGACTATTCGTCGTCGCAGCCGTCCAGATCCTGGAAATGAACGGCGAGAGCTACAGGCTGAGGCGCAGCCGGGGTAACCTCGCGTTCCAAGATTCAAAAGAACCTGAGACGCATAGCTTTCACAGCATAGACGATCTGCCTCACCCGCAACGTCAGTTACTACAGTCGTGAGAACGGGCATTTCTCCTGAACAATTGGAGAGGACACTTGTGCTGACCAATGGCCCCAAGTGCGACACTTTCTCGCCGCCGTTTACAACCTGCCGAAATTGCACGAAAAACGACCGGCGGCACAAAGTATGGCTCGCCGTCGCGGAAGAGCAACTGAGCAAGGCACTCGGGAACCACAGCGTACCCCAAAAGGCAATCGAACACATAACCAAAGATCGGTACGGCTCGTTTCTCCGGGCAGATAAACTGAGGCGAGTGAACCAGAACTCCATGAGGCTAGCCCAATTGGGATTCCGTCAACAAGATAGCCGACCGACACTCTTTGTATGTATGAGCTAATTCGTTGACGGAAGTTCCAGCGTTTCCAAAGGTGGTTTGCCATTGAGGGCCTGATGGGGACGGGCTGTGTTGTAGTAGAGGAGGTATTGTTGGAGTTCGTCCTCTAGTTCCTCCACCGACTCGAAGGTGCTCCCCTCCAGCAGGTCCTCATAGAGGGTGCGCCGGCTCTTCCACTTGGGGCCGCGCTTTTGGGCAGCAGCGCTTGATCTCACCTATCTTGCGGGAACCGGTGGTAGTACTTGTCGAAGGTCTGCCGGTTGGAGCCGTGAAAGCGGTAGAAATCCTCGCGGAACCGGAACTGGGGGGTGCCTGCCCGCCTTGACCAGCTCAAATTCCCGCATCAGGAACCGCCACCGCTGGATATAGTTGCGCTCTATAGTGGAATCCCTGCTGTTGTTTCGCATCCTCGCCTCCAGATCGGTACATCTACTTTTACCAATCTGTCAACGAATTACCTGGCATCTACAATCCGGAAAGGATACTCCCCCTAAAACTCACCTCGACCCCCTCCACCGGCACCGGTGTGTTGAAAGCACAGAGCCGTCAACACGACTAATGAAAGCAGCAGAGCAAGGCAGTATGAACCGGTGACCCTGCAGTACACAAGGATAGTGCCTAACCTGAGATTCAAGCAGTTCCCGCAAGCTATGCCTGGTTCCGGCCTTGCCCTCGAAGAGATAGGCGCACTTTGACCCAGGAGCGGAATAGTCAGGTCAGTTCGAGTCCCTAGAAACGAAATAGCACCGACCCTGACCGGCGACTGCGGGATTCAGGGTCGCGCCATGCCGTCATTCACAACCAGCAGTTCCGCCAATTGCCGCACATCGTCCATCTCGTCCAGGGCATTGATGGCCGCGATGATCTGATCTTGGCGATTTCCGGATATGACTGGCGCGGCTAATTCCTCGAACTTGTCCTTCATCTCCCGCCAGGTGAGCGCATTCTGATAGTCGCCCTTGGGATAACCCGTGTAGCTGCGCAGCACACGTCCGTCGGTGGTTGCGACCTCGGCCCACGCAGGCCACTGACTCGGGTACAGAGCGTCGAGATCCGGGTCAGTCACGCAATGTACGCGGGACATCATTTTCCTCACTTCGGGACGCTGTGCCACCGCGACCGTGTGTTCGCCCAGGGACGCCCGCCCGTACAACAGGGCAACAGCGCCGCCGAAGGGCATGCTGAACTGCATGTCCACTGCCGACCGGGGGTTGCGTTTGTCCTCTTCGGGAGCGGCGATGGTGTTGAATCCCGCGCTCAAGACGCCAATGGTCACGGTCTCTACGTCATCGGGCTGCAGGGCGTGCTTCTGCCGCAGATCGAGCAGGCAATCTATGGGGCCCTGGCTGTACCGGCAACAGGAATGGGGCTTGATTCCCATCCGGGTGATCTGGAATTCGTCCCCCAAACCCTGGAGCACCAGCTCCGGGTCTGGATCGCCGGAGTAGCCCTGGAGAAACCCGAAACGGCCCTCAATCACAGTTGCCGGCGCGAGAAAGCCAGCTCGAGCGAGCAACGACGCCCATATCCCACTGTTCGAGGCCCAGCCCGGGTGCAGTCGCTTGGTCCACGTCCCTTCCGTCAGGAATTCCAGGCTTCCGGCGGCCTGGCTACCCGAGACACCCAGTGCTGCGGTGTGTCGATTCGGCGCTCAGGTTCAGGCACCGGGAGGCCACTGCCGACGCGCCAAAGGCTCCGCAGGTGGCGGTTGGGTGGAATCCCCTCTTGTAGTGTTCGGCAGGCTTCAGGGCCATTCCGAGGCGCATCATGACTTCATACCCGGCCACAACCGAGGCGATGAAATTCCTGCCATCCAACCGGGTCACATCTGCCATGGCCAGGGCTGTCGGAAAGGCTATGACGCCGCCGTGAATTGAAGAGTCATTGTGGATGTCGTCAAGCTCCAAGCTGTGGAAGGCCGTTTCGTTGGCCATGGCCGCGTACTCCGGAAGTGCCCTCTTCCCGGTGCCGATGATTACGGAGGGGCCGGGCCGGTTGACGCTCTCGATGGCCTGTACCACCGTGCGGGCGGACTCGGTGGTGGACCCGTTCAGGGTGACGCCCGCAAAGTCCAGGCACAGATATTTCGCCCAGTCCACCACCTCGGGCGAGAGATCTTCGTAGGTCAGGCCTGAGCAGAACCTCCCTAGGGTTGCGGCCAGGGTTTCACTATTTCCATTGTCCATGGTTGCTTACTCCATCCCATTCAGGAAGAACATCAGGGAAATGGCCCCTTACTGTGCAGCCTTGGCGGCCTCACATCTTGTACTGCCTCGAATGATGTACAGAGGAAGGGCGTTGGATTACGCAAAGAATATTACTTTAAGCGGAGGTCATCAAGGATTCCATGCACTGCGTCCGTGCTGCTCGGTGAGCACCACGATAGGCAGACGGACCAATGTCTCGATGATCTGGACAGTCGCTCGGATGGATGTACTGGCCGACCTGCCTTCACGAGACTTGCGGATACAGTTTCCACACTTTCCGATATAGGTATGGTCTGACGCACAGCCGTAGCCTGACCGCGGGCTAGGGCGAGGCGGAGCAGTCGTACTCGGTCATTGCGTACCACTTGAATCTTAGTTGACACTCCGCTCCCGCAAGGGCACCATCGCGGTTGGAAGCCACGCCGCCCTGGTCGAGTTTAATCCCGATGCGGTGACCAGCGTCCAGACCCGTTACTTATACGAGACCACATCCGGCACGAATGTGTAAAAGTCAAAGAGGTGTCCGAGGTTGTAATGGCCAACGGGCATGTGCTTATCAAGAATGGAAAGCACACCGGTATTTCCACAACTGGGCGCCTCCACTGGCGCAGCTCGCAATGAGCCGGCGCAGCGGCTGTCCAATCGGGGGGAAACCTCGAAGGCACCTGGATGATTCGCCTAGACAATCTGCATTTCCGTGAGAAGACGAATGGGAACTCCTAGCCGGCACCGCCGGATGGGTTTAACCCAAATGGGACAAAATAACGATAGTGGCAATCGATCGAGAGTTAGGAAGAGTTGCAGGAAGAACGGGAATTGGACGAACAGGAAATAAGGAGGCGCGTCTCCAGCTACCATCAGGAATACGTTTCAATGATGCTCAGGTGGGTGGGTATCGACGATGACTGTGCTGCCCACCTCAGCGATTATAGAAACGTCTTAGCAGCCCGTCCGGGGATTAGCTGGAGACCACCTGCGTGGGAGGGTGTGGATTCGTGAATACCGAGAGGGTCCGTGGGAACTTGCCGACAGTGCGCCGGGGAGACCTGCGGTTACTGCCTCGTGCCTTGCCTGGCCGCCCGTCCCCGAAGCGGAACAGCTTCAGCAGGTTGTGGCCGACACAGATCAGCAGCCATTCCTGGAGCGCCGCCGGCAGCAGCAACTATTGCCCGGGGTAGTAGGGACGGAAGGTCTTGCTCATTGGCGTATTACCATGCCGGAGGTTTCTCCCAGCAAAACCTCACCACCGTATCATCGGCGTTTCTCGGACGGACTGCTAGCTGGATATTTTTGCTGGCCTTCGACACCTCAGTGGCCCATTATCTTGGGCTTGTTGAAAAAGTGGGGTTTGACGGAGGGACAGGGTGCCACAATAGGGCCGCGACGTTCATCAAGGCCGCGACGCTCATCATCAGGAATCCAGTGGACCAGGACCGTGGAGCCCCGTCCGGGTTGGTCGGCTCCCCGCAGGCGGTTGGGGTTGCCGGGTCTCCGTGAATCGCTGCCCTGGGTTTCAATGGGGCCGTAGGTCCGGTGCCTTGGCGCAACCGTCGCACGGCCTGAGCACGATGTGGGCCAGAGCGGCCATATATCCCTCGCAGTCGACTCTCCACAATCCTCACGCCGAGACCTGGCCCATCCCAGTCTGTCCAGAGATGCAAAGGTTCCCTTAGAGACGCTACGGCGGCCCTTCTGCTCCCGGCGATA